TTAAAATTGAATGAAAAGCTTGCCCTATGTACACAGTGAGGTTCGACCATTAGGAAGAAATTAAGGGAAAATATTGAAAAATTTCATATGATCTAGAATTGATATCGGAAGTGTTCTATGTGATTTGGAGATCAATTTGCATATCAATTTGGAGCAATTTGGAAGCTTTTGGAAAAAGGGCTACTTTGCAAGTTATGAGAATTGTAGGGCATTATTGAATAAATGTGAAATTTGAAGTACTCAAAGTTAATTTATAATGATTATATGCTGGAATTTTAAGTCAGGAAGTTGTTTGGAACCAAATTACAAATTTGGTAAAATCCAAGGATTGAATTCGAAAAGTCCTTGAAGTTTAGGACTTGATTTCAAGTTTAGTAAATGTGGAAGTATCATTTGGGTAAAATATTACAATACTGGAAATTTTATTAGTATGCTGATTTTTTAGTTTGAATATGGAGTTGGGATCAAATTGCAAGTTTATAAAGGTGGATGGTTGAATTTGAAAAGTCTAAAAACTTTGGGATGAATTGCAAGCTTTGAATGTTAAAGTATTGATTTGAGTATTTTTTTAGTGTGAACTTCCCAACTACGATTTTCATGATGATGAAATTTTAAATGTTTATGATTTTTAAGACATTGATTAATAAATGATTATATTATGATTTATAAGCCCATTGTGTGTTACATTGAGAGTACATTTGTCATGCCTTTAAGTTGAGTACATTCAAGTTAAGTTATGGTATATTCGTGTACATTATGTATTACATCGTTGGTGTTTATGTTATGATTTGCACTTGGAGTGCATCTTATGATACGTTATTATTGGCATCGTGATGTGCCTAATGCGCGCCTTATGTTCTACTCGCGTACCTTGTATTCTCTTAAATATCCATTGGGCTGAGCAAAAATAAAATATGAAAGTTATGAAATATGTCGAATTGGCAAGAATTATAACATGAATATTTTATCTTATAATGTTTATCATGATTTGGATAAAACCATGAAATGATAAATTTCAGGTTTATGATGAAGAATTGCTTCATTAAGTGGTTTGAAAGTTTAACGTTTTCTTTAAACTATTTTTAATGTTTGATCATATTATGGTATTTTCATGTTTTATCTCACCTTAGTTTATTACTGCCTCACTAAGTTATACTTAGCGCATGATGATCTTCATGCGTAGGTTCGGGAAAAGAATAGGTCATGCAGTGAGGAGCCTCTCGAGCATCTTTTTTGAGATCATCAATACTATCAGCATCAGTAAGACATCTACTATGTTACTTTGACTTTTAGTGGCATGTATAATTATGTTAGTGGTTCTATTTATAAAATTTGATTTTGATTGGTTTGTAATGTAACTAGGACCATTTTGTTTTATCTAGTTTAGTTTTATTAGTATTTATAAATAAGTTGTATATATATATATATATATATATATATATATATATATATATATTACTATGTTTAAATGGTTTGAAATTTTAATAGAGTTTAGGTAGTTCTAAATAGTTTGCGAAACAATACTGAACTGCCTAATTGTTGCCTTGAAATTGGATATGTTTTGAATGATTAATTATTATCTTATAGTTTTATGCGATTAGGAAAATAGTTTTAAAGTTGAAATAGGAATATTTTAAAATGAAACAAAATTTTAAGTACTTATGTTCCATGAATGCCTGCCAAGCTGATGTAACACATTTAGCTCGTATTTCAAGATGTATGTGGGTAATGGGTGTTATAGCTATAGTGAGAATAAGGGAGTTTCTGGAAGAGAGTATTTATACTATTCAAGGAGTATCAATATTGTAGGTCCGATCTTGATACTACAGGGTGGTATCATACCGGACACTAAACAGATTCTAGAATGAATTTTTGGTACCGATACTCAAGGGAGTATCGTCACCAAGGGTAGAGTGTCGATACTCCCAATAGGGGTATCGATACTGAGGTATTTTTCAAATCATCGAATTCAAATTTAATATCGATACCTGAAGAACATCAATACCCTAGCTCGGGAGCATCGATACTCAGACTGAGAGTATCAATATTACACATTTTCCCTAATTAAAATCAACTGTAGAGTATTGATATCCAAGGTGGAGTATCGATACTCAAAGGTTAGTATCGATACCGAGAGCCCTAGTATTGGTACCATCGGACATTTTAGGGAAAGAATTTCAAGAAATTTAGAAGAGGTATTGAGGTACCCAAGAACTCCATAATTACTCACGAGGGGTAGGTTAGTTGAGTGTTGTGTCTGATGTAGAGATTCTGGACTTTACCCTAGGTATATTAGAGGAGTGTGTGAGCCCCGAGATGCAGAACACTCAGCCCCACCATGATGTCTACCCTATAGCAGAGTGAAGTATAAGAGTATACTCACTATTTTTATTGCCCTCAATAGCATGAGCTTTTAATGAACACTTTTAGTATAGTTTAATTGTTAGTGTGGCACTGTGATAGTGTGCTCAACGTTCAGAATTTATTTCCGTGCGCAAGTATTTATGAGGAGCATTTGAGGAGTTTATCGCACATCAAACATCCCAGACCGATAGAACAGTGGGGTATATCTCGAGCCAATTTCTTAGAGGTCATGTATCATTTATAAACCTTCGTGTATTCAATTCATAACTTTGTTTTGTAATACTCAATTGTAATATTTTGATATACTTATTTTGGGAGCTCCCAATTGTAAATTATTTATATATATATATATGGTCGTTTACACCACTTTGAATGGTTTTAAATTTATGATTTACTAAGTATTAAAGAAATTTTTTGTGTTATTCACTCCTGTGGTCCCGTGTGGCTTTCTAATAGATTGACTTTGTGTAGTATCGGATTAGGTTGTTACAATCGGGTTATCCCATAAAGTATTTTTTAGGATATTTTATATTCTTAAGTTTAAATCGTTACCTCATTTAACACAAACTATTACTGTTGTTAAAAACAACAAAGTTAAATTATACATTTAGTCACTTAACTATTTTTACGATTCTATTTTGGTCACCCAACTACGTTTTTTCAAAATAATCTCTAAACTTAAATTTTCAAAAACTTAAGTTAAGTGAGTTTATTGATGATTTTGAAAAAAAATATTGGGGTGACCACAACAAAACTATATGAATAGATGAATGACTAAATATGTAATTTACCCTTATATTTTTTAACAGAGTTAATGATTGGGTAAATGAGATAACGATTTAAATTTCATGGGACAAAACATCCCGAAAAATATTTTAAGAGACAATTCGATAAAAAGTGTATAGTTTAGGGGACAACGGGCCTTATAACTATTGCATATTTTTTCTCTCATCTATTATCGAATTTCTTTCTTATATATTTAGAAATGTTAACATATATGATGCATTCGTGTAATCATCATTTTTTCTACATACCCCATTTACAAACGGGCCTCAAGCCCAACCCAAACCAACCCAACCCAAACCAACCCAACCCAAATACCCAAACCAGGACCCCACCCAGGGTCCAAACTAAACTCGACTCGGGTCTAACCCTAACCTTAGGGTAGCTACCCCAATCCCCCCAATCAACACCACCGTTTTCTGCCCCAGTGACAGAGGAATTCCCCACGCACTTCACTACCACCTAAGCTCCACACTCAACGCAACTCCTGCAGAGACAACAAGCAAGAGACAAAAAATTATCATTTCAATTTTCCTTGTAAATGGGTATAAAACCCGAGCATTAAACACTGTAAAATCTCTCTGGTTTTTTCGTTTTTCCAAGCAATAAACTGAAATATTCAAGGTAATTATTTTTCTTTTTTTTAAAAAAATTTCGAGTAGTATTTCTTGTTCTTCTATGCTTTTAGTTTCAAATCTCAAAAAAAATCTTTTTAGTTTTCGAATAAACCACAACGTTTTTAGTTTCATTAAAAAAAACAGTAATAACTTGAGTAGAAACCCACTTTAGGTTTCAAATAGCAGCAAAAAAGTAGTTCTTTTTCAGTTAGAATAACAACCATCCAAGTCCTTTTTATGAAATAAAATAGAAAAGAATAAAAAGAAAATAGTAGACCCGAGTTTACCTGAGTCGGGGAGGCTTCGTCGAATGTCACCGGAGTCCGAGGAAACCAAAAGGTTTAGGGTAGTTTTGAGTAGTTTATGAGTGTTTTTGGTAGTTTTAGCTCTAAATAGAGCATAGGCTAGTAGATCTAGGATTTTCGATCATTTTGGGTTGTTTTGGGTGTCTCAATCGTCACGTGAGGCGGCCAGAACGGCATCCGGACAGCGGCCGGAGAAGGATTTGAGGTGGCCGGCGGGAAAGAGGTGAGAGGGGAGAGCATTTTTTCCAGTTTGATGGTTAAAATGATATAAAAAAGAACAAAAATTGGTATATATAGAAATAGTTTAGGATAAAATCACGCTTAGGTCCCCTAGGTTTAGCATGTTTTTACATTTTGGTCATCTGTAGAGACCAAATATGTTATTTTCCCTTTTCCTTAGGCTTATTCACTGTTTAGTCCCTCTAATTTAGCGTATTTTTGCATTCTGGTCACCTGTAGGGTTTAAACTGTTATTTTCCCTTTTCTTTGTTGCTTTGTAATTTTTGGGTTATTCACTGTGTCGACACACATTTTCAAATAGTTTAGGATAAAATCACGCTTAGGTCTCCTAGGTTTAGCGTGTTTTTACATTTTGGTCATCTGTAGATACCAAATATGTTATTTTCCTTTTTCCTTACGTGCTTTGTAATTTTTGACTTATTCACTGTTTAGTCCCTCTAACTTTAGTGTGTTTTTGTATTCTTATCACCTGTAGGGTTTAAAACTGTTATTTTCCCTTTTCTTTGCTGCTTTGTAATTTTTGGGTTATTCACTGTGTCGACACACATTTTCGTCCGACTTTTATATATTAATTTATAATATATAGTCAATGTGTTATTAATTATGGTATATAATGTATATGTATTATTTTATATAATATATACATACTATGTTATATACTATAATTATATAGCATATATTTTATTATGTATACATATTAATTTATTTTTTCATTCATTTATAGAATAAGGCCAAAACCCAAATACAAGTGTTACACATTCAAATCCAGCAGCCCAAGTACAAGTAGAGCCCCACAGACCTGGATCCGGAGCCTGACCCGAGACCGAGTCCACTGAAGTTTGACCCGAAACAATTAGGTGCCGTTCCAGCCGCAACTCCTTCCTTCGAAGACTCCTCGCCCGTTCCGGCCGTTTCCAACAAACCGAAATTCTCGGTACCCACTCAAGCAGAAGAACAACCAAGTCAGTAATTTCAGTCCTAATGGGAGTCTAAAACTGGATTGAAATCTAGCGCTACAAATATTCATGGAAATACACAAGATAGGGGGAAAAATACGAGAATTATACATAGTATTCGGGAAAAAACACAGAGAAATCAAAGGGAAAATAACGAAAACGTCGTTCGTAAGCTTACTCATCCAAGCTGCTCATAGAAAAAGAAAGAAGAAATGGAAGTAGTTCGATCAAAGAGGAATTACAGTTCCAGCTAAAGCACTTGAATCTTATCTGGATCTCAGGAGATTAGAAGTGAGAGAGAGGGTTGATGCCTTTTTAGAACAGCTGGCAAGGCTATCAAGGGGCGATACCAAGTTTTGTATTAGCAAGCATTATAGAGGTTTTTCAAAGCTTAACCAGGAACCAAGCTGTCAAGCAAAAACCAAATTCATGGGTAAGGCACACGAGTTTTGTGTATGTAAAGGTTGAGAAATCCATGTTTAGAAAATGTGGGATATTGGTTTGAGGAAGGTTCAATCTTTTGTAGTGTTTTCACTTTGGCTATGTTTAAGTTTTGGTTTTTTTTGGTTTTATTTTGAACCTTCTAATTTATTTAAATTTACGTCTTGATTCTATGTTTTTTTTTAATTCATTTTCGTTTAGTAGTGCGTGATCTAAGCCATTTGTGTTGATATGGAATATACTTGATTCATGCATGTCTTTGTTCCTTATTCTTTTATTAGTTTTTATTTTTAGCCATGATATATTTTTTACTTTACTTTTATTTTGAGTTTCCATGTACTTGTCCCCTTTAAACTTGGTAATCTTAATTTCTAGATTAGCTCGTGATTCCATGGTACTTAGTTTAGCCTTAATTTTGGAGGTTACTTGACTGTGATTCAAAACTATCAGCCTTCCTTTATTAGGTAATCATTTTGAATAATTAGGGAATTTCTTAAAATAGTTTTTGCTTATGCTTGAGGTTTTTTATTATTCGATTAAAATATCAAAAGTTATTTAGCATGAATATTTAGAGCCTCAATTTTAAGATAAGCTTTATTAAGTCATCTAAATCCATAATTTGACACTTTAGTTAGACGAAACCTTAATTAACCTATTAGCATAATTAGGTCAATATCGATTGTTTGATTGCATAATTTGGTTTCAAAGAAATGAAGACAATGTTGATTTATTTAATAGTTGTTTGTTATTTCTTATCTAACATTTTCGACTTTTTTTTCCAACCAATCAAAGGTAAGTAATTTGAATAGGATTTTTAAATTTCAATTTAAGTTTTTAATTTTCGCAATTAAAGACAATCGATAAATTAATTGGTACCGAAAGGGCGGTTCAAGGGTGCTAATCATTCCTTGCCGTAACCGACTCCCGCCCCGACACGTTTCTGGTACAACGTAGATCAGGTAAGATGGTGTTCGACCCACCTTAATTCGTTTTAAAGTGGTCGGTGGTGACTTCAATTCATTTAATCTAATTCGAAGCCCAATTTCGGGCCCAACTGAAAGACGGTCGCGACACACTGTTTGGTCCTCTAAGTTTAGCGTGTTTTTACACTTTGGTCATGTGTAGTGACTTTTTAATTTTTTTAATTTGTGTGGACTAATTTTGTAGTTTTTCTATTTTAGTTTAATAGGTTATTTTAGGCTTAAATAAAATAGATAATTATCTTTTAGTCCCTATAATTTTCTCATGTTTTTGCATTTTAGTCCCTAAACTATTTTTTATTTTGTTTAGATTTAGCCCTTGAATTTTAATTTGCTTTAATTTAGCCCTCATCATATGTCTAATTAATATTTTTTTAGCTTAGTTTGATATTAAAGCAATTTGATCCTGATATTTATGTTTATTTTGTTTTATTTTTTATGTTATGTTTTTTGTTTTTTATTTATTTGATTAAGTTTATTAGTTGATTTAATATTTCATAGTTTTTAGGCCTTTTGGATTTCGTTCTTAGATTAGGTTAATAAATCAAATCAGACATAGAATCAGGATGACACCCTAGTTATTAATTAGGGAGCAATTCGAGTCGAGTTTACGCTCAAGATGTTCGATTACTCGAATCGATTGATCAACTTTTTAAAACTTGTTAATCATCGATATTTTCTATAAAAACACTTTTAATTCAATTCCTTTTTAATAGGTTAATTTATAATTCTTAGGATTTTGGTTATTAATTAGTCCATAAACTTTAGGTATTATTGATTTAGGTCCTTAAACTTCTAGTCTCTAAGAACTCGGTTTTTAGGTCTTTGACCCTTTAGTCCCTAAGCTTCAATTAGACCTTAATATTGACATAATCAAATAGGTTAAATAGAGCCTCCACTTTTAGCTAGATTACAATATAGTCCTATTAATTTAGGGAATAATTCGGGTCGACCCTCGCCTAAATGCTCAAGGACCACCTCGGTTATTTGATTCAATAATTGATTAAAAATCAAATAGGGCTAATATTAGAGCCTATATTTCTAGGTTTATGCCTTTAGGTTCTTTAATTCTCATAATTCAACACTTTAGGATAGAGAGAGCCTTAATTACCCTTAGTTAATTAGGATGAATAAAAATTTGTTTAATTGCATTTTATTTTTAAACTTAAGGCAATGTTCACTTATTAGGGAATAATGGTATCTCCCACAAGCTCCCGAAATAGGTCGACATCCTTTTAAAAACGCATCATGATTTCTAAAATATCGAGTAATATTCGATTATTGGGCACAATTTGATCTCTCGCATTCATGCTAGGGGGCGAAGGCTATCGACCTTAATAAATGATACCCTTTTCAACTTTGCATTCGTAATGATTTTTAAATTAAATAAAGTTTGAATTCAAAATTTTGGATTCTAAATATAGGGTAATCAACTAGGTACCAATTTTTTGGGCGCTTGTGGGGGTGCTAATCCTTCCCCACGCGTAACTAACTCCCAAACTCGATTTCTGGAATTTCACAGACCTTAAAACTTGGTATTTTGATAAAAAAAATAAACGTTTTATTAAAATCAGTCAGTTTTTATGGTGTCCCATCTCACCTAAAATAATTTGTGACGACTCCTCACACTTCAAAATTCTTTTCAAAGAAAAACCCCCTACGGTACCGGTCTTTCCCCACCAGGGCGAAAAACGGTGTCAACAATCCGAAAATCTTGGGATAGCTAAATTCTGATTTATTATTCTTCATGCTTCATTTAACATCTTGTATTCTACATTTTTATGTAAGACATCGATTCAAAAAATATGGGTAAATTATACAAGAGACCACTAAACTATAACCCCTTTTCATTTCGACCACCATTTTTGAATTATTGTCAATCAGACAACCCAACTATTTAAATGCATCCACTAGCTGTTAACATTTAACGGAAGTGATGACATGGTAGTTAATAAAATTGTTATAATTACACATTTGATCCTCGATATTTATACTTCTTTCAATTAATCCTAATTTAATCTTCTAATCATATGACGACACATGTCATAATTTTTTATTAATCGACTCATATCTAAAAATTAAAATCATTAAATTATAATTATGAAAAAGAATAATAAATTTGGTCTTAAAATGTAAAAAAAATCTTAAATTTATTTTTAATTTTGTATTAATTTGTGATTATTGTGCCCTAATCATATAGTTTGCTTAGATTTAAGTCCCTAAATAAGTAGATTTCTTTCTTTCTTTTTCTTTTTCTTTCAGTAGCCACAATAGGTTTTATACAAAATGTAAGCCTATCACAATTGAGGGCTTGGCTCAATGGAAATGCTTGTTTTTCCTCCTCCACCAAGTAGGATGGGTTCAAACCCCAACCCTTTCAAATTAGCGAAATTTGTTTTTCCTTTAACCCGACCATCTGGTTGGACGAAAAAATGTTATATTAAATAAAAGAAAATTATATAAAAAAGCTCTCTAATCGTATGATGACATGTGTCGTCATATGATTAGAGAATTAAATTTATTGAATTAAATTAAATTAGGACTAAATTGAAAGAATGTAAAAATATGGAGGATCAAATATGTAGTTATACAAGTTATATTAACTGTCACGTCATCACTACCGTTAAATGTTAACGGCTAGTGGTATGATTGAATGCATTTAAATAATTTGGCGGTATGATTGACAAGAATTCAGTCGTATGATTGACAAGAATTCAAAAATGGTGGTCGAAATAAAAAAAAGGCTATAGTTGGATGATTTAATGTATAATTTACCCAAAAATAAATTGCAAAACTGCTTTTGTCCCCTAAAGTTCTTGGTAGATGCTATACTTTTACCACACTCATCACCATATCAAGAATGCTGGAATTCTTTCTTTCTGGTATATCTTTTTATTAAAGCGTATACCTAACTGACAATTAGTGAATGATTCTATGTTTCTTATAAAAAAAAATTAAATAAACTTCATGTACACTCGCCTCCTCCATCATATATGATTATTTTTTTTTAGATATTATCCACTTTCTACAACTAAATTGAACCCCTTGAATTTTTCTAGAGCATAGTTTTTGAAGTAAAATGGGCAACTTCATTTAATACTTTTTTAATCAATTACTGGTATCTGATTTATTTATTGATTAATCTAAACCATATTTTATAGCTGTATATTATGGATGCAAACGCTTTCAACCCAGTTTGCTCCCTTTATTTAGACAAAATGATGCAGGAACTATTACAGTGAAACGGTCTAGAAATTGAGAATAGCTTCAACCAACAGTTTCATGGAAGTGTTCATCAACTCAGGACTCAACCTAAGCATGTGTACAAAATTCCATCTCATTCAAAGCCCCATCCCCATCCATATCTCCTTCTCTCAACATACACATGGCCTCTTCATCGCTCATGTCTTGCAACCCAAGCAATGCTGACTTCTTCTTCAAGCTCTCGAACGTGATCACCCCTTTGTCCTCATCCGCAAGCAATCGAAACCCGTTGCAAAGCTCCTTCATGAAGCCTTCCGCACCCAACTTCTCGATCATGAATGGAAAAAAATCTTTGAAAACGACACCGTTTCGGGACGCCATTCAACGCGTGCAAAACAAACCCTAATGGTGTTAATGGATAAGATTGGAACAAAAGGAGGGTATTTATAGGTGATGGAAAGAGAATAAGTGAAAAAGGAGAGGAAATGTTCGAGGAAAGAGTGTTAATGAGAACAAATTGAAGGTGGGTATAAAAAAACGAAGCAGCTTGAGAAGGTTGTCTTGGATCGGCTTATTATTTGCCGTGGCTTTTCGTGTAGGGAAATTAGTCGTCCTTCCTCGAAGTTGCATGTGAACGTCATAATTGGTCAGAGCAAGTAGTATTTCCATTTTTAGATCGTTTCTTTCCTTTGGATGCCAATTTCTCTTCAAGTACTATTACGTAACTATTTGTACGTTAAAAAGAATAAATAGGATGAAAGAAAATCATTAGTTATTTGGATTATT